ACTGGGTCGACGTTTCTTTTTTTTCCCGAGGACGAGAGACGCCTATATTCCTTTCCGTACAGAGAGGTGGAAAGAGACGCGCGGCCCGTCCGTGGGTTTCACTTTCGAGGCGCTCCGAAGGGCCGGCCATATATCGCAATTCGGATTTCGCGCCTCGCGGTCGCCATCTTTGATGCGCCTCGAGCGGAAGAGACGGAGAGAGGGTAGGCGGGAAGGGGAGGGGCAATGGAGGTAGCCGTGCGTGTGCCACCCTTGGCCAATTAACTCGCATGGACTCTCTTCGCGGAACGATCCAGGACCGGCGAGTGCACCGCGGCGCCCCTTCGAGCCTAGCTCCAGGGGACTCGGATTACTGAAATTGTCCGAAACTGCGCAAGGATGCGCGGGACATCGGCCGAGGTGTCGCGCCTCGTTATACGGAGGGTGTTGCCGCTGCTTTCGGTCGCCAGTTGGCAACTACGCCGCCCGCGTACATGGGGGTACCCGTGCCACTTGTACGGTCCCGTAAGGCCCAATAAGTGCCTTCGCTCGTGCGAGAGGGTACGTCCGGCGCGCGCATAGGACCGCTCGTGCGGGACACTTGTTTACGAAACGACCGTCGATTTTCATCCTTTAATTGCCCTCCGGAAGACGCGTTTACAAACTTAAGGTGATATGAAAGAGGGTCATTCTATACATGTCAACGCGTCGCAATATTTATAAAACTTTTCTCCAAACTGGGGGCACCGAGTTATCCGAAACTTTAACACGTGATTATGGCGACCCTATGGAAGAACGCGATTCTCGTGAAATTTCATTCTTCGAAGAGAAATGTTCTTTTTTTTTCTATCCTTGTCCGAGATAAGTACAAAATCTCGTTCGAGAAATGAAATTTCACGAGCATCGCGTTCTTCCTTAGGGCTTCCATAATCTCGCGATGACGTTTCAAATGATTCAGTGCACTCGATTTGGAGAAAATTTTTGTAAATATTTGGACTTTTTGGTATGTACATATGACGCTTTCGTATCACCTTAATCCCTTGCGGTGCTACGTCGAGTCTGACTCGGCACTTATAAGGCGATTTCAGAAATACGGATCCGCAAAGGATCATCGTAGAAACACGGACTATAACATGAAAAACTGAGATCTTGTCGAAGCATCGCAATATTCTAGGTATTCGCGCAAGAAAGCCCCCGGAAGTCTCCCTTGCCGGTCGCCGAACGGACGTTCGTTCCGCCCGGAGCTCGACCAGCAAATGGCGCGCCTCACGGCGTGCTTAATCGCGCGTTAATCGGCGCCCCCACCTCTTCCCGCACCTCCCACCCGCCTTCGGATCCGACGAAGAGGGCGCGCTAAGTGACCGGAAGTGACACGATTTCCCACGGGACGGTTTCCTGTCCCTCTAATCTCCTTCGGCTTGTCCGCGCACCCAGTGAGCCGAGTCCACCCGAGCGCGACCGAGTGGAGCCGAACACGCATCGTCCGCCCGTATCCCTTCGACGTCGCGTTCAACAATTTCGTCCCTCCCCCCTCCCCACCCCTCCCTTCCCATCGAAGAAAAAATTTCGGAAAGAGTCCGCAACGCTCCTCGACCCCCCGGAATCGTGTTCAAGAAGAAGGGGTTCACGATAATTAAAGCCACCCTCTATGGCACCTGTAAGCTCGGTACAGAGATTGCATAACGATAACGTAAATAGAAATTATCTAAAATCGAAACTCGAGAATAGCTCAAAGATGAAGATGACGAAAAAAAAAAAAGAAAAAAAAATCACGCTTTCTCATACTCGGCAGAAATTCTCCATCTTACAGACCGATGCCAATTTTAGATCGACGTACAGAACCGTACGTAACGATTATGCCTTTTGGCAATAAACGTCCGAATTACTCCACTACCCAATATGACGATCGATATAATTGAACCTGTGAATTTAATTTTTCAGGTTTTCGGCCAGCCGCTTCGTCATTCTCGGCACTGCTCGACGGCGGAAACGAGTCTTTGGCTACGGAGGTTAGGTTCCGCTTGAGTTAATCCCGGTTCGCTCGAGTCAAATAGGGTTTAGTTGATTCGACCGTGAGGTTTTAACCGAACCTTTGTTTTCAGCGCGAGACGCGCGGGAGAGGAAGCGAAGCGTAGGTGCGTTTACACGTGTACGAGGAGCGACATTCCATCGAGTTAAGAGCCCGTGACTCTTTAATTTCACCGGGGGATCGGCCCGGGGAGTTGAACCTCCGTTTCCTGCGCTCTCGGAGTCACGACGTAGCTGGGCCCTTAATTATCCTCAGGCGACTCGGAGTCGACTTCCCGTCTTTATTTCCCTTTATTTCCCGCATCCAGAGAAGAGCATCTCGGGTCATTTCTTTTAACGGCGTTCACCACCAAGTGGAGACGATGACTTCCACCGCTAGATGGCACTAGCATCGAGTTCGGTGGGAGGTAACCAAAACGTACTTTCTCGCTCGGATGAGGGAGACGCGACGCATAATGGGCAGTGTTTAGCAACGGGCGAAAAATGTGTGTGTATTTTGCACGTATACAACTCACACAACGGCTAGACGCCTCTGGACTAGGCGCCGAAACGTGTGTGACCCTCGGCCGCACGCACACGCAAGTTGGACGCTCCGCCTAGAGTCGACAACGGTTGCTAAAGAATGCCCAAATTCCGCGCGAGAAACTTGAAAATCCTGAAAAAGGTGCTCCACGGGGACAACGATTTTGAGCGTATTTCTCAACCGATCGAGCTCAACGAGTGCTCGTTTTAAAGATAAAATGTTGACGTGTGTTTATATGGGAGCGATTTTCGATCGAGCACCTCCTTCCTAGGTAAAAGGGCATTGAAATTATGTCGTTGCACTTTTTTATATGATAATGACCACTTATCGAAAATCGCTCCCATATAAACACAGGTCAACATTTCATCTTCGATATGAGCACTCGTTAAGCTCGATCGATTTAGAAATACGTTCGGAATCGTTGTCCCCATGAGGCCCTGCAAAATCGCTGGAGTGGTGAGCGCCCTTAACCCCTTGCCGTACTTTCACGAGTCTGACTCGTGATAAAAAAAATGTCGTGCCAAACGTGACCATCGCGAGTCCGACTCGTAATCTCAATTCCGGGCAAGGAAATTCTTCCTGCGCTGCAAACGTCCATCCTCGCCATTTCGGCCGACCTTGAAAATTCTCACGGTTCATTTGGGCTAGGATTTTACCGAGCTAATTACCACGGCAAGGGGTTAATTGCCGTTATAACTGCAAATTTAAACTTGTATTTGAGATTCCCCAGGAGGCGTTCGATACTTCGGTATTCGAAAGAGATACGTAAGGTAGAGAAGTGTACAGGGCACAGACCATGGTACGACGTGCTTACGCATCTTGGGCCGTAAAAAAGAGGCTTTAAAGGAAAGAAATAAAATAAGTGTAACTTCCGTAACCACCGGAAAGAAGTATTCCTGCGACGACGCGACGGACGGCGAGTCTTAAATATTTAAATTGGCCCAAGGTATTCCGTGATTTCGGTGCAACGTTTTTCCTTCTTATCGGTGTCTAGGAAATATTTCGGCGATCGAGATAGTACACGGGGGTTTATCGACGCCGTAGTTCCTCGTTACTCTTAGAGTAACTGGGATGCAACGAGGTGGAGAAAGAGGGGCGAACTCTGGCATTGCTCGGAATCCTCAGGGTCTTCTTTTACACGTTGGACTGCCTCGCGCGAGATGATAGGAGTAACAGCCTAACATGTTATTACGAGGTAGCCGATCGGTAATCACCTCCTCGGAACAACCTCGTAGACGAGGCGGCTTCGCGTAGATTGGAATCTTCCTTTACATCCCGTGCAGGATCCTTTGGATCGAGCCGGGAAGGAGCGTAAATCTCAAATATGTATCGGGAAATAATCGCGATTCGATGATCCTCGTTCCGCGATCGGTCCAAATGTAATTCTTGAAAATCGAAGAGCCGCAGCCTAGGTTGGAGCGCGAACAAGTATAAGTATTAAAGTTCTCATTGCTCGTGTTCGATGTCGATCAAACTGAAATCAGGCGTGCCAAAAGCGAGGCCATGTCCGAGCACTCGCGTTAGACCAAATAGGATAAGGCGATCTTGTGCACGCGTTACAAGCGAATCGTCCAAGCCGCACCTCACAAGTACCACTTCTCCCTCGTTCATCCTCATCGAATGTAACCCTAATTCCGTTTAACGTCGTTAAATGGTTCGAAAATCGGACGTGGGACTCGAAGCGAATCGTCCAGGTCCCACCTCACGAAAACCGCTTCTCCCTCGTTCAAGGGAGATCCATCGTTAATCCCCGTCGAGTTTATCGCTAATTCCGTTTAATGTCGTTAAGGTGAAGTGAAACACGTCGAGGAACTTGATCAACGTCGATAAAGAAGATTTTTCTAAATGCCTACGCTGCCGACGTTTGTTTTTATATTGACAGCTGTATCGAATTACATTGAATATTGTACCAAATGGCATACTCCACCTGTCGTTTTCGTACAATAATTATAAAGAAATCGAAGTAAAACTCCAGAAATCCTCTGGATTCATGCCTTTTGGGGCCCTAATTGACTGCGGAGGGACCCCCTGCGCCATCTGTGATTTCCAGGTCAATTAAATTTTCACTCCGAGACCTCGTATTACCATCGTTTCAGCAAAGAAGCGCATACAACACTTTTCTTTATCCCGTTCAAATGCGAGTTTATCGATTACCAGAGTGTTCTAAATTCTCGTAAAATTGTCCTGACCCTTTCGATTCTCATATCAAAGCCTTCGATAATTGTATACTGATCGAAATATCAGAGCTCGACGCCATTTTGGTTCTGGTCTGGACTGAGTTAAAACATTTTTTTGAAAAATCCAAATTTTGAATATGTCAGGACAATTCTTAGGTGATCAGGAGTGATGTGTCAAAGTTTCGGACAGTTTGGTCTAATACCCTTAAAAAAAAGTGTTGTATTCGAGTCGACTGATTTGAAGGATGTTTCACTTCACCTTAAATGGTTATAAAATCGAACGCGGGACTCACCTCGAGTACGTCCTGGGCAGTCTGAAGGTACTCCCGCAGCATGGCCTCTTGGATAGCTCGCCATTCCTGCCGGGGGTCTTCGAGCTGCGTCGTCTCTGAGGGAAAAGAAAAAGGCGGGTTGAAAGAAAGTAGGCGCTGCGCGATCACGAGATCCAACCCTTTCGATTTAAAAGTTAATAAAATTGAAGGGAAATTTTGTTAAAATATCCGATCAAGTGTACGCTGTATTACGTGGTATACCGGTACAGTGGAAGCATACCGGAGAAAAGTATAGCCGTATCGAAAGGGTTGTCGCCGAAATTCAGCTTGTCTTTCCACGCGAGGACCCGTAATCGAGATTAGAAAATGACTCTTTCGAGGCTCGGCACCCTCGGTCTCGGAGTTAGAGCCTGTTACGCGAATGACCCTCGAAAAAAAAAAAAGAAAAAAAAATCAGGAGATACCAATTCCAAAGTTGGTTGGGAACCCCGTTAACGAGAGTCCATTGATTCGGTGCTGGGCGGCCGAAGAGAAGGAGAGGGACTCACGGTTGACATGATTAATGTAGTAAGCGCCCACGTGCTTGTCGTAGGCCTCCTCCCAGCCGAGCGGAAGCTCGTTCCCGATGCAGTCCGCGAAGGTTTGGGGCTTCGTGAATCTGCAATAAGAAGGGGTCCTCCATCAGTTCAAAATTAAATACCTCTCGCTGCAGACGCGCCTTAACGCCACTCGAATTACGCGCCAATTTACATTTATGGCGGTGCAGTGGCGTAACCAACGACCGCGCTCGCCCTTGCGGCGTTAACGCGAAACGGCTCGTCCTTAAGGGTATGTGAAAGTGGCGTTCGCAAGGTCAATCGTTCGTGAAACTCTTCCACGAAGTGGGTGTACCAAGTCATTTCAAACTTCACAGGGTGAATATAGAGGCTATATTGTGCCCATAATTATGAAAGTGGTCTAAGTCAAAATTAAAAAAAAAATCAGTTTATCAGTTGTTTCACGCCATATTATTTCAAACGAAATTAATTCAATGTAATTTCGAAACAAAAAATATATGACTTAGACCACTTTCATAATTATGGGCACATATGATCTTGACTCTCGTGGAATTTAATTTTATATAAAATATGTTAAAAAAAAAAATTGAAATTTCATGGGTGTCAGGACCTTCCTTAAAGCCTCCGCATTCGCGTTATAAAGTTTCAATCGGTTCGGTAGACCCAGTCCGGAGAAAAGTTTCATAAACGAGGCCTCTTCGACGCCACTTTCGCATCACCTTAACGTGATATTAAAGGGTCATTATATATATACATACATAAACACGTCAAAATATTTAGAAAATTTTTCTCCAAAACTGGGTGCTCCAAATAAATTGAAACGTTAACGCGCGATTATGGAGGCTCTAAGGAAGAACGCGATTCTCGTGAAATTGAATTTTTCGCCCCTTCTTTTTATCGGAAAACGATACCTAGTTCTATCGACCGTTTCAAAGGACGAGCAACGCGAGAGCTAGCAATCGTGGACGCACGTTACACCCCGACTCGCCATGCGTGTAACGAGGCGCTCCCGGGCGGTTTGCACGCTATCGCGATCGCGCGAGGCTGAAAAGTGCATTTTAACGCACGACCGGTGGCCCGAAGTGGCGCGAGTGTCCGCCAGAGGGCGAGGGGGTCGTGCGGGGCGGGCGAGTGCGTGTCGGAATGTCAAGGCGAGAGAGACCTCTCCAAGGAGAGGATCAAGATGGCCGCCCTCGGGCGGTATCGGGGGGCAAGTGGTGCCACGTAAGGTGCCGTAGTACTCATCGAATCCCTCCAGGTCCGACCTGGAACCCTCGCGTCAGGGAGGGCTCCAAGTTGCACGAAGAACGACGAGGCGGGTCGAAATCATGAAAACGAGTCTTGTCCTCTCGCGAAGAGAAAAAAAAAATATATATATAGTGAATATAAAAGCCCTAAGGAAGAACGCGATGCGCGTGAAATTTCATTTTTCGAAAATAATCTTGCATTTATCTCAAAGAAGAAAAACATTTTTTTTTTCCGGTAAAATGAAATTTTACAAGCATCGCGTTCTTCCTTGGGACCCTCATTAAAGTTTCAGATAATTCGGTGTACCCGGTTTGGAGATGTTTTATAAATATTTTCACGTTTTGATATATAGAATGAACCTTTCATATCGCCTTAAGGTGATGTGAAAGTGGCATCAAAGAGGTATCGTTTATGAAACTTTTCTCCGAAGTGGGAGTACCGAATCGTCTCAAACTTGACAATGTGAATACGAAGGCTGTAAGGAAGGTCCTGAAACCCATGAAATTTCAATTTTAAGATAATTTGTTTGTAGCCATTTTCAAGAATTTTAATAACAAATGAAATTTCGCGAGTTTGAAGACCTACCTCGGGGTCTCCTTATTCACGTGGTAGAACGTGAAACAAATTGGTACACCCAATTCGGAGAAAAGTTTCACGTACGATTACCCCTAAGATGCCACTTTCACCCCCCCTTAAGTAACACGGTGCGAAGAAATTCGGGGAAGCGTTCGGTGACACGGAAAAACTACAGAACCGCGCATACTTGTGCAGCGGCAAGAGCGCGAGGCGGGCGGGCCGACCTCCCATGGTCGGCCGGAATTCACGGTGAAAGTGAAGAGACGAGAGAGTGCCCCTCCCGCGGCTCGAGTGGGTACGTTCTACCGGAACGCGACTACCGGTTGATGTCGAATGGGGTACCACGCGCCCATCGCGGTGCCCGCTTTCGGTATGCCCAGGAGGTGACACACCCTGTACAACCTGTTCACGTGGCTCTTGGCGACCCTCCTGGGGATAGAATAGACGGTGGAGTTCCTCCAAAATTTCATTAGAAGATCAGACATTTTTCCACATGGTCGTCTCCGTTGGATAGAAAGTCATTTCTCGCGAGGAGAACGCCATTATTTCTATGCGTCTCCTTGCATCTATTTCGTTCCTCCAACCGCGATGAGAACGCCAATATTTCTGTACATCTCGTTGCATCTATTTCGTTCCTCCAACCGCGATGAGAACGCCAATATTTCTGTACAACATCTCGTTGCATCTATTCCGTTCCTCCTGGCGCCGCCTAGACGCTCCAGGGGAAACCTCTCCCGAGGGGGTGCGGGGCTCGCTGACTCGGTTAGAATCCTGCTCGGATTTCCATCGCGATGCGCGCCACGAGAACCACACGTTGGAGAAGAAATACGGGCTCCGCTGAGATCGGCGAGAATTATCATCAAAGGAAAATACAAAAAAAAAAAGAGTAACAGGAAACGCGGAAACGTTTCGGCGCAAGGTGCGAAGTTTCAATAGGGGATTTTAAGGGGATGTCAAAGTGGCGTCAAATAGGTCTCGTTCATGAAACTTTTCTCCGAACTGGGTGTACCGAATCGATTCAAACTTTGCAATATAAATATGGAGGGTATAAAGAAAGTCCTGAAACTCATGAAAGTTCAATCTATTTTTCTCATTTGTTTATAGGTATTTTTTAAATTTTGTGGAAGAAACGAAATCTCACGAGAGTCAGTACCTTCCTTATAGCCTCCACATTCACTTTGTAAAGTTTGAAACGATTCAGTACCCTCAGTTCGGAGAAAAATTTCACGAAGGATTGACTCTTCGGAAGCCACTTTCACATCCCCTTAAGGTGATACGAAAGGGTCATTCCATATACATATGACCCTGTCGTATCGTTAAGGTGATACGAAAGGGTCGTTCCATATACATATGACCCTGTCGTATCACCTTAAACGTTCAATGCCCGTCGGGTTCCGATCTAATTCGGTCGGGCAAGGGTTGGCGGAAAGTAGAAATCCGACCGGCGGATTTCGTCGCGGCGCGGCGGTCTCGCGGAATCCGGGCCGGCGATTTCCTCGAGGAATCGTCAAACCGCGCGAGGCCTCTTCAGCCTTGGCATACCGGAGCGTGCGAGACAATCGCGCATTCAGCGTTTGATTTGTCGCACTCTCTCTCGTCCTCTCCTCCCTCTGCCCGCGTCTCGTTCTCTCGCGTCCTTCGGCGTCTATCGTACGCTCCTGACCCTCTTTCCTACGACGGGTTTCCCCGTCTCTCTCTGGCCCACGCGCCCTTCGCTCTCTTCCTCTCCCTCTCTCTCTCGCTCTGTCAACATCAACGGAGGAGCGCAACCGGTGCGGCCTAAGGCCAAGAGCGCCTGCGCGGCTCCGGTGTTCCAGGATCCCCGAAATCGGCCTTTATCAACGCCGATCGAGAGGGGGATTCGATTGCCCCTCTTGAGCAGAAAATTGTCGCGCCGGAAACGTGAATCACGGGCCTCGGAGGAGAAAGGACCTCGCGTGCAAGCGCCGACTCGGGTTCTAGGACGATTACCCCCCTGCGAGAGGAATGCGCCGTTAAGGGGGCTGGAAAGTGACTTTTTCTTCTCCGCCTTTTCTCTCTCTCTCTCTTTCTCGTTTCGTTTCTTCATCGGTGGGCCGTCGTTTCTCACGACTGGTCGAGCCGAAACGGCGGAAACTTTGACTTCGCGAATTGAGTCAGGGTTGGCATAAATTCGGCTTTTTCTTTTACAAAAAGCCCAGACAATGGTTTTAACCAGTTTAAGGGGATGTTAAAGTGGCATCCGAAAGGTCAATCGTTCGTGAAACTTTTCTACAAACCGAGGGTACCGAATCGTTTCAAGACTTACAACCTGGACGTGGAGGCCCTAAGGTAGGTCCTGAAACTCATGAAATTTCATTTTTTTTTTTGTACAAAAAATGATTGAACATATTTTTAAGCAAATTATTTAATAATTGAAATTTTACGGAGGACCGGATCTTTTTTATAGCTTCCATATTCACATTGTCAAGTTTGAGACGATTCCGTATGCCCGTCGATGGAAAAAACGCTTTAAAATTTATATCGGAATATTTTAACGTTCCGGTCTTCTTACTGGACGGAACTGACGCGGAAATCTATGAATACCCCGATGTAAGTCCAGGAAGTTATTTCAGCGAGTGCACGGACGTGATGCCAGTACATGGTATGAACATGCCCGAATCGAGCGCAATGCGTTAAATTATTCGTATTTGCTCTCGCAATTTGATCGTCCGCGCCGAGACAGTCGCAAATATCGTTCGCGGTCGAGTCCCGCCCAGAATCTCGTATTTGTTCGATTTATCTCGCCCGAGTATATCTGCCTCTCGGTCTCTCTTCCCCCCTCGGGGACGCCAGTCAGAGTCGACGTAGACAGAAAGTGTGAGAGAGAGTAGCGCGTCGCAGCTCGGCGATTACGCAGAAAAATTCCTCGACTCGCGCATAATTTTCGATTGCTCAACGCCGAGCGGCCTGGAGGACCGAGGGCCACGGGGCAGGGGGAGGCAGCTGAATTTATCGGATATCGCATTCCAAACAGAAAATTCCTCAGCGGACTGGAAGGCGAGCGGGGCGCCAAACTCCAAAATCGAAGCTGCCGACGTCTCGACGCCCACTGCTCGATATTACGGCGGACGAGCCGATGTCGGCTCAAAAATCTGACGAAAGGATAAAATACTTAACGCTGAAGCCACGTAGACCCACCGGTTCTCGTAAGATCACCGAAGTTAAGCGCCGTCGGGCGCGGTTGCTCCTTGGATGGGTGACCGTCAAGGAGGACGCATTGCATTGCATTTATGAAAATTTTTCTCTAAACTGAGTG